TCCAGTCCCCAAAGTAGCCCCTTTCTATCTGGCTGCTGATATCCCAAGTTCTGTGTTTAAAAACACTTCTTTTCAGTGTCTAGTCTTTGTTAAAATTCAAATTCCCTTAGGAAAGAGAATCATTTAGTCATCAGAGCACACGTATCTTAGTGTGCCTGCATTTAAGTTCTGTCTCAAAGGAATTTGGGGTTGGCATCAACATCTTCAACTTACAAAGAAAACACCAAATACCCCAGCCATAGATGGATCATAGTGCACAGGCCCATGCTGATTCTCTGCCCCCTACCTCTGGGCTTATAATAATCTTTGCTGGCAACTAGGCTGGATTCAGAATCAGCTAGGAAACATGCCTTTGAGCATGTTTGTCAAAGCCTTTCCAGAGAAGTGAGGAAAGGGAAAACCCATTCTGAGTATAGACAGTATCTTTTCATGGGCTGGGCTCCTAGACGCAATATAAAGGGTAAAAAGAGGAAGCCAGCCTAGTACCAACATCCACCTCTGCTTCCTGACTGCAGATGCCATGTGACCAGCGGCTTCACACTTTGTTGCCATACCTTCTCCACCATGATGGACTGTACCCTCCAACTGTGAGCCCAACCCTTCCTTCTTTAAGTTGCTTTTGTCAGGTGTTTTGTCCCAGAAACAAGACAAATAATACAGGGTCCATCTCCTCCCTCCTTCCCTCCTTAGCTTTTCTTCTGCATAAATCCATAAATTGAAATATGGGCAGAAGTCTAGCGTGTATGCTTCCACCTCTTTTCCTTTCATTCCTCCTCCTCCTCCCTACCCCTTCCTTCCTAAATTGGAAATCAGTCTCCCTGAACACCACATGTCTGGATTTCTGGTGAGTTGTTCCCGTCAAGGCTAAGATTCTAAGCCCTCTGGAGGTAGTACTGACTCAGTCCCCTCCACATCCAGCCTCCTTCACACCCCACCCTTATCCTGGGGCTGCCACACTATTGGATGCATGGAGCATTATGTAGGAGATATTCAGTATAACTGAATGATAAATATCAGTGCATGCACAATGCACAATTTAGTAAGCCAAAACAGTGCTTATGGTAGTATAGGGTCTCCCTCCTTCCCTCCCTCCCTCCCTCCCTCCTTCCTTTCTTTTTTAAAAATCTTTTGGAAAAGTTCTGAAGTGTAGAAACAGCTTTTGTATAGACCATAAATATAACATCTGGGCTTGTTTTTGTCTCTGACAGTGTGTGTGCCCACGTTAGTAATGGAGCTTTGTTCACTAACACCAGCATACAGGTCACAGCAAAATCCACTGGACCTCTGTTCTCACTTAGAGAGAGGGCCACACAGCTGTTGGAAGATTGTGGTCACACAGAGATGTCACTGTTGCCAAGCAACTTAGGGTGCTTTGGTGCTATAACTCGAGAGATACAAGTTCAAGGATCAGCCTTCCTATCTGACCTGGCAGTTTGATTTCCACAGCGGCAAGCTCAGGCCACCTCATGATGAATCAAATCAAATCAAAGGACAGCTATCTGGCTTGGTCTGACTCCAGTTAGTCAACCCAGCAACCCGCCCCTGCTCCCAGCTGCCTGAATGCTATCTCAACATCAGGTGACAGGTTTCTCTTGCATTTGATGAATTTAATAAATCCTGCGTTCATATATAAAGTCCTTTGGGAAAATAAACAGTACCTGGCTTATCTATTACCACAGACACTGAAGAAACCATTTCTTCTTGTTGAAAGTGAATGCAACATAATATTTCATGAGTTCATGGGCAGGGTTTGTGGGTGTTGGGGTGGGGCTGCACAAAAGAACACGAAAGCACTGGTAAGGACTTTAGTCTACAGACTGCAGGTGCCTCAGTCATTTCCAACACTGAAATAAAGATGGATTGAAATTTCTGAACCGGAGGAAACCAGTGGGAATATCACTTTCACCCCTCATTTTAGTGAAGTGTATAAATGAGAAATGAATTGGTCAAGGTCAGACAGCTGGAGTTACCAGGCCTTGGATAAGAGCCAGGAGCCCGGGGCTTATTCCCTGTGTCCTCTTTAGTCTAGGCCACGAGCAAACTGCAAGGCCAGCTCTCGAGTACTAGCAATCTGGCTTCTCACAGCTTGCTTCCAAGCAGGATCAGAAACAGTTAAAAATGACCAGAAAGGAGCAAGCTAGATGGAAGGGAGGGCTGAAGAGGAAATCACCAAGCTGAACCTGGTGTCACAGGTATCAGGTCATCCCAGGTACTCAGAGGGTAAAGTTGGAAGATTACAAGTTCAAGGCCTACCTGGGCTACAGAGTAAGTTCAAGGCCAGCCTGAGCAACTTAGTGAGATCTTGCCTCAAAAAAGGGCCAAGGCGTGGCTCAGTGCTAGAGCACTTGCCTAGCATGTGGGAATGGTGCTGAGGATGGACAAGATGTCTGTCTGGGGAGACACCTCTACAAAGCACAGGGTATTCTGGTGCATGCACTTAAGAGCACCCCCAAATCCACTGTAAACTTCTGTTCTAGAACAGACCACACTTTCTTATGAGTATGGATTATTTTTCCTAATAGACTAGCAAACTAATGGTATAAAAATAAGCTTTGCTTTGTCCCTGATACCTGAGTATAATTGTATCTTTTCTATATTTATAAAATAAGTCTGCTCAAATGTTTTCATAGTCCTGTATTTTAATGTGACAGCTTTTTATTTTTTGGTGCTGAGGATTGAACACAGGCCCTTGTGTACACTGAGCAAGGGCTCTACCACTGAGCCGTACCCCTAGTCTCATGTATCACAGCTTTTACATCGTAGTAATAATTCTCTACTTTGTATTTCAGGGATAAATATGAAATCAATGTGATTTTAATGTTAGTTGAAAGCAAACTTGCTATGTATTTTTATTTGACCTTGACCTAAAAATGAATCTTACATTCAGGTAGAATGCAAGATGAATGCTTTGATTTTTAATAAAAATTAAGAGTTAAAAAAACCAATTAAAAGATAAGTAGATGGGGATTTAATCTTTTCAACTTAAAGTCCCTTAGCCTGGATCTCTCATTAGAAGAGCTTCATTAAAAACACGCTGTAAACATTTTCAGTAATTAAACTTGAATCTATGATCCATGATAAAACCTGGTCCTTAGGCCATTCACGTTTAAATATGCAAAATTTCTGTACTTGGATTCCCTCTTGTTTGTGAGTTCCCTCTTCCAGGGAAATGCATTTGTGTAATTATCCTGTTCCTATATCTCCACTGCGGATCATAGCAAGAAAACCACTTCTTCCCATATGTGAAGTATTAACTGATAAGCCACAGGGAGCATATACTATATGTCCTTACCAATTGATAATGCTATTGGCTGGGTTTGAAGACTAAATTAGTCATCAGAATCTTAATGTCACAGCAAGCGGAGGCTGAAGAGATGTTAGAGCACCTTTTGATAATGATTTGCTTATAAATTTTACTTAAAACACTTGCTGCAGTTTTGTTCCTGTGCTTCCCATGCTCAATGAGTTTGTTCTTAGGCCCCTTTACTTGGGGTCATGAGAGGATCTTCATCAATACCCCAAATGTAAACTAAGCTATATTTCTGTGAAGTAGGGGGGAAAAAAAACACTAGTTTGGGGCTCAGAAAATATGGGTCCACTTTTGCCACTACAGTAAGCCCTCTGTACCCACAGGCTCCACATTCACTGGCTCAACCCACTGTAGATCTGAAACACTTGGAAAAAAATTATAGTTGAACTGAGTGTGTACCGAGTTTTTTTCTTCCTAAAATACACAGCAAAACATTTACACAGCATTTAGACTATATTATGTCATATCGATATTGTAGACATGATACAAAGTACCTTGGAGGTGTGTGGGGGCAATATGCAAATCCTACTACATTTTCTTTTGAGAATCTGTGGGCTTTGGCATCTGCAGGGTATCCTGCAAGCAATCACCCAGCAGACTCAGAGGAATGACTCTAACCAGTCCTTTAGCAAGGTAATTTACCTTTCTGGGATCATTTCTATAATTCTACATTGAAGGCCTGGATTGGTGGAGGGTTAAGACTTCCCATTATAAGACAGGGACAAGATAGCAGCTAGTTTCTGTGTGTAGTGGGATGAGCAGAGAAGTTGGTGCTGCCTGACCCTCCCACCAGGGCTACCAGGAGCTAGCTTATACCTGCCCAGAAGAACCTGAGCTGAAAACAGAGACCTAGCTGGCAATGGAGTTATTTCTTCAAGTGAGGAAAAAAGAAAGGGGGCTAGAAGAAGCAGACAACAAGAGAGGTAAGCTTGTGCTCTGGAAGTTTCAGGAAAAGGTTGGCTCTCTGTGTGAGGGGAGCTGTGTAACTGTTGGCAGTCACAGTGTCACACACCCACCACAGCAGATTTTTTTGACTGGGTGACTGGTTGGTCCAAAGCCATCCAATGAGCTATGGGTTGTTTGTTTGGTTTTGTTTGTTTTGAGACAGGGTCTTCCAGTAGTCCCAACTGGCCTGGAACTTACTGTGTAGACCAGGCTGGCCTCAATCTCACAGAGATCAACCTACCTCTACCCTCCCGAGTACTAGAATTAAAAGTGTGAAAAATCTATTATTTATAGAAAAGAAATAGGTACCAGCAAATGCTGTCTAGTCAACTACATTGACTTAATTTAGAAGTGAGTATATTACAGTCTAACTTAAAATATAAGGATGCAGTTTAGAAATCACTCAACAGATTTGAAACTTTCATTGTTATACATTGTTCTTTTCAAACAGGATCATTTAAATAAAAACTAACCTTGGTAAATAAAGTAGGTGCTAGACTTTACACCTGTGCCCCCCACAGGGTACTAAAGACATACATGCTGCATGGAGCTGCTCACTTGACCTTTAACAAAGTGGTGAATCATAATGGACTCAGACTTTTTGTGCAACAGTTAAGGCAGCCCTATCACACACTTAATCTTCCTTGCTGCACAGATGTAAGGGCTGAGCAGAGGAGAGTGTATTCAAAAAAGTAAGAGTGGGTGGGTGGGCAGGGCAGTGCCTGTGCTCCAACCTGGTTAAAAATAAGGAGTCATAGAAGAAATGGCTTTATTAGAAAAACATGTAGTGTACAGTGGCTAACTTTTTATCACTGATATACTGCTTGGCTATTCTGTAATTAAAATCTGATACAGGGTTTGCATGTCTTTAGAAGTTAGTGGCGCATTTCTTCCTGTTCTGTGCCTGGGAGGAGTTACCTTCACGGGACAGAGGCCCTTGTTCCATCCCATGATTCAGTTCATCAGTAGGTTAGCACTGGCACAGAGCACAAGGGATTACTGACATGGGCAGTGCTTCCCATGTGAGGCTCCACACCTCCACCCGGGTCCAGCACAGGTGTGCTGCCTGTAGAGTTCTCAAATCCCCATGATACTCAAGTCTTGCATTATTATTATCCAGCAGTCATTAAATTAATGCCATCACCTGTAAGCTAACAAAACCTCTGGATGAACTTTCTTCTCCTTTTCTCCTGTTAGATGTGCAATTCCAAGCAAATGTGCAGTACTGATGTCCAGTCTCCTTTTAACTCCTGCAAGTCTATAGTATTAAACCGAGACAACCACATCGAGATAGAGTCTGTCATAGGATTCCCTGAAGCACAGAATGAGGAGGAGACTGAGCAAACATGACCCAGGAAGGCACCAGTTGAACCAAGACAACTCTGGAAGACAAAAATGTGCAGTTTTAAGAATTCATGTGGCAGCAGCAGCAGACATGACCTGTATGCTGGGAAGACTTTGTTCTGCGTTCAAAAGCACTTAGAATAAATGCACCCTGGAAGCGGGCTTTCAGTAAACAGTGACAGTCTGGAAGCTAAGTGTTGTGTGCAATGTATTACTGGGCTTTCATGTGGAATATTTTTAATCAATGTTGTTAATAAGTTTTCATCAATTTAATCCACCTTGACTTTGGTTACAAAATCAATCTATCACTTCAAAGGGGGAAAAAAATCGATCATCTTTAAATGTTGGTTTGTCAATTGCTTTTTCAGTGGCCTCTACCGCCGTCACTTTTGTCGCTGTTTAGAATGTTTAGAAATGTCTGATAGGTATAGGCACATAGGAAAATCACCTCGCTTTCCCATATATATGTATATATATATATTTCATAGGTTACAAAATCAATCTATCACTTCAAAGGGGGAAAAAAATCGATCATCTTTAAATGTTGGTTTGTCAATTGCTTTTTCAGTGGCCTCTACCGCCGTCACTTTTGTCGCTGTTTAGAATGTTTAGAAATGTCTGATAGGTATAGGCACATAGGAAAATCACCTCGCTTTCCCATATATATGTATATATATATATTTCATAAAGAGATGGCTATTTAACAGGCTCAGTAGTCTAAACATATAAGATAAATATCATATGTGAGAGTGAAGGGTGAAATGAACAAGAAAGTTTTGCTCAGGAGTTTACTATT